CACACTAGCAAAAATAATCCCACAGCCTGGTGACTGAGCTATTTGAAGATGTCTCCCCAAAATAAATTCTGTACATTATAATAGCACACACTTTTCAGACTTGGCAACTTGAAGATATATGGACTTCAACTTCCAGAATTCCCCAGCCAGCACGCTGAAAGAACTTAGTTTGACTTGCTTTTATTTTACAGGGTTTTTATCAGGTATGTCACACATTAAAAAACAAAACAAAACAAGGGGCTCTTTATCTTTACTATCATGTCACCATCTTGCCTTTTTTAGAACATAGAATAATAGAGCTGGAAGGGACCATGGAGGTCATCTAGTCCAATCCTCTGCTCGAGCAGGAGACCCTATACCCATGATGGTGAACCTATGGCACGGGTGCCACAGGTGGCACGCGGAGCCATTTTGGTGGGCACGCAAGTGTTGCCCTAGCTCAGCTCCAGCACGCATGCACGCACCGGCCAACTGATTTTCAGGTCTTCCGGTCCCACTGGAGGTCGGGAAATTGTCTGTTTCCGGTCTCCGGAAGGCCTCTAGGGGGATGGGGAAGGCTGCTTTTGCCCTCCCCAGGCTCCTAGAAAGCCTCTGGAGCCTGGGGAGGGGAAAAAACGGGCCTACTGGGTCCACTGTGCCATTGCATGCCAAAAGCAGGGGAAATGGGGGGGTCACATGCGCATGCGCGGGAAGGTGGGGCGCATTGAATTATGGATGTAGGCACCCGCACCCGCTCCGCCCCGCTCCCCCCGCTTTTGGCACGCGACGGCAAAAAGTTAGCCATCACTGCCCTATACCATTTCAGAAAAACAATTGTCCAGGCTCTTTTTGAAAGCCTCCAGTGATGCAGCACCCCCATTAGGAAATTTCTCCTTAGTTCTAGGTTGCTTCTCTCCTTGGTTAGTTTCTATCCATTGTTTTTTCTCTTGCCTTTTGGTGCTTTGGAAAATAGTTTGACCCCCTATCTTTGTAAGGGGATACCTGGAACATTGCTAACATGTCTCCCTTAGTCCTTCTTTTCATTAGAGTAGACAAACCCAATTCCTGAAACCGTTCTTCACCTGTTTTAGCCTTCATCCCCTGATCATTCTTGTTGCTCTTCTCTGCACTCAACACCTTTTTATATTATGACCAGAACTGGATGCAGTATTCCAAGTATGACCTTAGAATAGAATAGAATAAGTTGGAAGGGATCTTGGAGGTCTTCTAGTCCAGCCCCCTGCCAAGCAGGAGAACCTATACCATTTCAGGTAAGTGACTGTCTAGCTTTGTAAAGTGAAACTAGGACTTCATGTGATCTTGATTCTGTCCCTCTATTAATGCAGCCTAGGATTGCGTTGGCTATTTTGGCTGCTGCCGCACACAGTTGGCTCCTATTTAAGTGATTGTCCAATAGGACTCCCAAGATCCTTCTCACAGTCACTAACATTAAGCCAAGTTTCCTAGTCTACCTACACACTTACTTTTTCTTGCCTAAGTGTATAAAACCTTACTTTCGAGTTTTGACTATACTCTGTGGATAACCCTGGTTGTTACTGCTCCAGGCCTTGGGAAATCAAGAATGAGTAGTACGCTTGAGTCTTTTTTTTCTTTGAAATTTTTGATGCTACTACTCAAACTCACATTTGCACAATGATATTAGCCATCTGTCTGTTGGCCATATTATCTAGTAGTACAAAGAACGATTCCCAGAAACATTGTGCTATACTCCCTAGTATTCAATATGATGTTTTGTTTTACTTCTATTTAATCTCTACATTTAGTATGCCAAAAGAGGTTTTAATAGTGCTTTGATAAACTGGAATGCTTATTCGTATTCTATAAATACAGTAACCATATGTCCTTTATTATAAAGGTCAGACCTTTATTTCAGTAATCTGCCCTTTAGATTTATTCAGTGTAATTATTTATTTCCTTGATTTTGCTCTTGAATTTTCCTTTGTGATGCAAAGTTGTAAACATACTTTTTTAAAAAAATCCTTATGAACCTGTTTCAGAGTTTCCCTCTTTTCAGGCTTCTGTTTTATTTTTCCAAGAAAATGTGGTCATTGTGTCTATAATGTGGCTGGATAGGGAGCAATTAAGGCAGAGAGGGCGTTTCAGCAAATGGAGCTAGAACATTTGTAGAGTCTGTCTCAAGAGAGATCTCCAGCATGGTTGCTTGGATTTACCTCAGGGTGGTTTTGTGGGTTTTTGTTTTGCTTGGGTGAGGTTTCTGAAAAGGTTTTAAAAATTGGCAGGACCATTACCTTTCAGCAAATGTGTTCATTAATTGGCATTCATTCGAGCAGGGTTTCTCAACATTGGGAACATTAAACAGGGTGGAGAATTCTGGGAGTTGAAGTCCACACGTTTTAACGTTGCCAAAGTTGAGAAACGCTGGATTAGTTGTTGCCTTTTTCTTTCATGACAAAAATGGAAATTGATTTGGCAAGATGTGCCAGACTTGGCTGAACCACCTGCCCCTCAGAAAGGAGGATTGTTCAAGTGAATCCTTCGTCCCTCCCACTCGCACATTTTGAGGGATAGGGTTCTCTATTTATGACCACAATTGAGCCCAATGTATCTGTTGCTAAGCTACACAGTTGTTAAGTGAGTTTTGCACCATTTTACAACCTTTCTTGCCACAGTTGTTAAGTCAAATGGTGCAGTGATTAAGTGAGTAATACGGTTGTTAAGTGACTCTGCCTTCCAGATTGACTTTGCTTGTCGGAAGGTTGCAAAAAGTAATCATATGACTCTGGGACATTGCACCCATCATAAATACGAATCAGTTGCCAAGCATCTGAATTTTGATCATGTGACTATGGGGATGCTGCAACAGTTGTTAGTGTGGGAAGTGATCATAAGTCATTTTTTCAGTGCTGTTGTACTTTGAATGGTCACTAAATGAACTGTTGTAAGTCAAGAACTACCTGTAGAGTTAAATATGTCTGTGAAAGCACGCAACAAATAAAGGACTCGCTATGGCTACCATGAATAACTTTGGAATAATTTTATAGAATTTTGTTTTTGAAAAAAAAAAGCTGGTTCTTTCTTAGGGTCTAAGCTACAATACCATCTTCTGCCCCCCCGTCCCCCGCACTGTTATGTATTTCCAAGGCAGATTTTTAATGATAATTTAGCAGATTGCTTCCTGCTACCACAGGGGATTGTTCTGTTGGCAAGAACCACAAGTGCTTGGCAAAAAAATAAAATCAACCAGAAAGTACCATCAGATTCCGGATTTGGCATAAACCGGAGGTTTGATTAATCTCAAGAGCCAGGCAGCCAGCCAGTTTTACTGTGCGTTCTAGAAAGAAAAAGAGGACAGTCTCTTCTATGGCTCAACAGCTGATTGTAAAAGGCAGTTGATTAAAAATGTAAAAGACTGCAGTGTGGAAAACTGAGACCGGTAAACCAAGTAGCTGCTCTTTCGGCTTTCTATCCCTGCTGCTACTTCTGGGGATGAATGCAAAGAGATCCAAAGCAAGGGCAAAGGTAACTCAAGGTGGGGGCGGGGGAATCATTACATCACTGGGATGCACAGCTCCCTCCCAGTACAGTTGTGCCCTCTGGCAAGAGACTCAACAAAGCATGTTGGCCTCATGAGCTCTTGGTGCAGTATCTTTATCTGCAAAAGTAAGAGTAGGATCTATGGTAAAATGACAAAGAACCTGTGGACACACTGCTACAGCAAATGTGCTGAAGGCAAGAGATTGCATTTTAGGTATGACAAGATGCTTTGAGATGTTGCAAAAAGTTACTGGATAAGAAGATTTGGGCAAGGTCTTTGACAGAGTGGATAGGCCGGTATGTTTCAAACTTGGCCAGTTTAAGATGTGTGGACTTCAACTCCTAGAATTTCTCAGCCAGTATTATCTTACGTGTGATCTTAACGTTGCCAACTTTGAAAACACTAAAATAGACAATATGCTATTCTAAAATATATCAGAGGTGAGATGAATTCTTACAATGCTGCATGACTTGTTTTCTTTGCTAGGGAACATAGCATGTATAAGCCAGAGCACTGAAGCTTTTGTTTCAAATATTTTATTTTATTTTTTGTAGGAATTTTATCCCTTTTTAGAAATTTGTGGGCACTGCCATTATGGACGATCAAGCATGTTTTTATTTTAGTAAAAGTTAGAAACTTGATTGGGTATTTGCCATCTCGAAGATCAAGAGTTGGGTCACTCTTGCGTATAAAAAGTATGAAAGAAGAAAATAGAGAAAAGTTTGATAGAAAGGTTAGTAAGATTTTATCAGCAGCTAATTGTGGAGAGGAAGTGGTTTAGAAAGTGGTGGTGACCCAGCCTTTTGCCATTTGTATTTTTCTCAGTTCTTTGGATGGCAACTTGCATCAGCTACAGCCAACATGGTTAGTAATTCAGGATGAAGGCAGTTCAGAACATGGGGAAGGCATAATTTGGAGAAAAAAACAAGATCTTCCAACCATTGGAAGGCTATCCTACTTTTGGACGTAGTCTTTGCTCACTTACTGAGATAATTTTATTTTCCATTTAAGAACTTGAACCTTGGAGGGAAAAAGAGAGAGAATGCCTTAAGATTTTTTTAACCAAACAACCAATTCCATATCTGACAATTTAATTATTGTCAGGATGCAAATAGAGGTTAATTATTTGCAAATTATGTTTAGTTTGAGCATAATTATGAATTTCTAAGTGAATACTTTCCATATGTTGTGGGACTGAATTTTTGTGATTATGTGATTGCCTGCCTAATTCAGTATCTGGCTATAGATTTTCCTTTTATACCTGATTCATGTGTGACAAGTAGTTGTTGCAACTGAAAGCTTGGTTTGCTAACTCTTTAGCAAAATGTGGCCTCTCACTAATTATATGAGACAAGCAACAGCTAGAATCCTTCTCTTTCCATCTTAGCAAATTAACTAAGTTAATTTTCTCCAAATTGTATCCATGCAGCTCTGCCTTTGACTCTCAATAATTGCCTGATTTTACTTTTGTTTTAATTAATTTATTTGTTTTTTGTCTTCCCAGGAACTGGAAGTGGTTCTCTCTCTCATGCCATCATCAGGACAATTGCCCCAACAGGACATCTGTATACAGTGGAGTTCCACCAACAGAGAGCTGAAAAAGCCATAGAGGAGTTCGAAGAGCACAAAGTGGGGCATTTGGTGACAGTCAAGACCCAGGATGTCTGCAAAAATGGCTTTGGTGTCACCAACATTGCAGATGCAGTGTTTCTGGACATTCCATCCCCATGGGAAGCTGTAGGCCATGCCAAACTAGCATTAAAACATGAAGGTATGCATCTTTTTCAAAACTACTTGCTGGATAGTTTATTACAACCTGTTACTTTCTAGATGTGTTGGATGATAACTTCTATCATGCAACTGAGCATGGCTGTCTTGCTGGATAGCTGTGACAGGAATTGTATTCCAGTACATTTGGATGACAATAGGTTGGGGAAAGACAGTCTAGGAAGGGCATCACTATTATTTGATACATGTTTTGCAAGATTTGGAGTCTAGGTGATTTTAGAATTTCCCAAACTTCACTTAGCTTCAGTCAGAGGATATTCTTCCTAACCCCTCCTCCAGCAGCTCCAATTGGCTGAAATTTTGTAGACAAAACGAGGAAGGGAGAAAGGTTTTTCTTTGGGAAAAAAAACTGGACCTCCATACTGTGTGCCATTTTAGGCACCTATGAGCATGAATGCTTATTTGAGTATGTAAGTGAACAAGTACATGCTCCCTGATGTGAAAGGCAGCTTATAGACTTGCATTTTAGATGTGATCCCTCCAATTTATAGTCATTTGAGGCATGCATTTCTTTGTTATAGATAAAACTGTCATAACACTAACTTACACCTTGCTTGCAGACAGTAATGGAGAGGAAGCGTTTTTTTTCAAGCTACAAATAATATCTGAATCCAGCATATGAAAGATCAAAGGATGATTTATGTTTTCGGCTTCTTTTCCTGATCTGAAATGTTTTCAGAGAAGATAAATGTACTCTTATCCTTATAAAATCCAGAGTGTATTTTTCTTACTCTTGTTTTGCTAATAGTTTTGTACCCTGGAGTAAGACCTTTTAACATTTATATTATGCTGGTCATTGTCACACACAGTAAAGAAATGTGCAGCTGCCAATTTTCGATAGATAGTATATTCCATCTATTCCAGAGAGCAGAAAAAGTATCTCAAGCTTGCTTTCTCCAGTATTTCTCTTGAGTCAACTATGAATGCTAACTATTTGTTTAATGATAAGGCTGCAATGGCATGTATAACTAATTATTACGAACTACAGAAGATATATCTAGCCAGACATTCATAGGATTATGCCATAGGAGACAGTGAAACCAGAAAATCATCAGCTTCTTGTGTTAGAATGATTGGTACCTGTCTGTGAGAGATCAGTTAATTTCACAAATTGGATGCCTTACTTCAGAGACTGTTAATTAATTTAAATAACCATAATAAAAATGCTTTGGGCTTTTTGACAAGTAGCAAGAAGAAGAAAACAACTTTCTCCCACTGGTTTGTCTTTGATTACCAATTGTAGCTGGCTTATGCATAATAGAAAAATGCTCTTGAACTTCTGTCAAGCGTATTCTAATTGAACTACAAGTGTGTGGGAAGACATAGTAGCATAATTTGCTGAATGTAAATGTTCTGTGACATTTTGTTAATAGCATTCGTACGTGTGATTTACACACACACATACAATTCCTTTCTGCTAATAATTCTGAGATTCAATGGCACTTTTGTTTCTATTTCTTATGAACCTTTAGCTTTAGTCCAGATCAGCATACATTATTTATTTACTTATTCAATTTCTGTAGCCGCCCATCTCTGTCAATGGCTCTGAGTGGCTTACAATTCAGAAAATTCATTACAATTAAAAATACTAAAAAATATTGTAAAACAATTTATTTATTTATTTATTGGTTCGATTTATATGCCGTCCTTTTCCGGAGATTCAGGGCGGCTTACAGTGCGTTAAGCAATAGCCTTCATACTTTTGTATATACCTGCTTAGTAGGGCTTTTGGGGGCCTCCCAAGCGGTGTTCTTTTTTATACAAAGTCAGCTTATTGCCCCCACAAACAGGGTCCTCATTTTACCTACCTTCGAAAGGATGGAAGGCTGAGTCAACCTTGAGCCTGGTGAGATTTGAACTTGCAGTAATTGCAGGTAGCTGGTGTTACTTTAACAGTGCTTTAGTCTGCTGTGCCACCAAGGCTCTTTACTCATAAAATGAGTAAATCACTAAAAATATCCAGATTAAATATACATGGGAGCAAGATTATTGGCCAGTTAGCAATACAACCAGGAAACAGGGTCCTTAACACATTCAGCCCACAGGCACAGGGACATAGCCAGATTTTTAGGGTTTATGAAAGGCTAACAGGTTTGGGGCCATTCTAACTTCCAAAGGGTTCTGAGGAAAAAGCTTGTCGTCTGGTTACTGCCAGCTGACATTCTTTGATTGATGGGATCTGCAGGGTTCTGCTCAATCTGGTTGGACAGGTAGAGCCGAGGTGGCGCAGTGGTTAGAGTGCTGTACTGCAGCTACTTCAGCTGACTGCTAGTTCAACAGATCAGCAGATCAAATCTCACCGGCTCAAGGTTGACTCAGCCTTCCATCCTTCCGAGGTGGGTAAAATGAGGACCCAGATTGTTGGGGGCAATATGCTATTTAGTATACTGTCGATTGTTGTAAGCCGCCCAGAGTCCTTGGAGAGTGGGCAGCATAGATAGATAGATAGATAGATAGATAGATAGATAGATAGATAGATAGATAGATAGATAGATAGATAGATACTGTTGGAAAAAGGCAATCCCTCAGCTACCCCAGTCCCAAGTGATGTAGGGCTTTACCACACTGGTAACCAGCGCAACTCACACAAAAGTGGTGTTACATGTGCTGTATATCTGGCGCCATTTACTACCTGTACAGCTGCATTCTGCATCAGTTGAAGTTTCTGAATGGCAGTCCCATGTATAGACTATATGTAGTCTAACCTAGAGGTTACAAGGTCATGAGCAGGGCCTCCTGATCATGGTATGGGCACAATTGGTGCACCACCTGAAAGTCTGCAAGGACCCTCCTAGCCATCTGCTGTCATCTGCTCTTCAAGCAGGGGCTGTGAGTCCAGGGGGACTCTGAGATCTGTCTGGGGCAGTGCAACCAATCCAGAACCAAAGGTGAAAGAAGCTTGTCTGGGGGGTGTCCAAATACTCAAATCTTGCTAAAGTTGAGTCAGAACCCATTTTACTTCATCCGGTCCCCAATAGTCTCCAGACGCAGGACTTAAGGGGCCTAAGCTAGATATAAAAGCTGGGTATCATATATTGATGATATCTCATTCCAAACCGATGGATCACCTCACCCAGCAGTGTCATATATATGTTAAATAGGAGAAAGAACAGACCTATAAGGCATCCTGCAAAGTAGGATTCACGGGCTGGATATCTCTCCTTCTATCAGCATTGACTGGAACTGGCCCCAGAGAAAGGGGAACCACCAGAGTACACTGCTGCCTACCCCTAGTGATCAGAAGGATACCACGATCAATGATATCGAATACCACTGAAAAGTCAAGAGGAGCTAGGATGTATGAACTACCTGTATCCTACTCTTGCTAGAGGTCATCCATGAGAGTGATCTATGCCACTTTCTCCATAACCTTCCCTAGAAAGGGGAGATTGGAAACCAAACAAAAGCTTCCTAGACGAGCTGGGTTGAGTGATGGTCCTTTGAGGAGGGGGCATACCACTGGCTCGTTAAGAGCCAGAGGGGAAATCATTCCGTCTCTCAAGGAGGAGTTAACTGTTGCCCAGACCCACTCATTCATCCCCTCCTGTGAAGCCTTAATTAGCCAGGAAGAACATGGATCTAAGACGCAAGTGGCCAAACTAGCAGCCGACTTCCTCCACTTCTTCAGGTTCCATGGCCTCAAACTCTTTCCAGATCACCTTGGAAGATGTAGCCACCGCCACCTCCATTGACTCTGCTATAAGGCTGAAGTCTGACATAGAATGGATGCGGCCAACTTGGTTTGCAGATGCTCAGCATATTCTTCAAAGCTGGCTGAGGAATTCTGGGAGTTGAAGTCCACAAGTCTTAAAGTTCCCAAGGTTGGAGACCCCTGCTTTAGTGGTCTTAAAACAGGACCACTGGGCAATTATCAGGAGACACAGTAGGGGCGGAGAAGTAGTTATATTTCACCATGCTTATCGCCAAAAGATAGGTCTTAATAGCGATTCTAGCTCATTTCCGTCTTTGTTCCTTATCTTTTGCCAGCAATATCTCTTAGTCTATTATTATATACACTTTATGTGATCTGCTCATGGATAGTCATCTCTCCATGATAATAATCTTAAATAGTGCATGATCTACAAGCTTGAATGGATCACTAGAGAAATTATCATGAGTTGGAGCCAAAGAACTGTAACTGGAAGGAAACAGAGTCACTTGCACTAATCTGCAAAACAATTGCATAGTTGCTTTAGAATATAAATTCCTTAGTAATTTGTGTTGGTTTTCTGAATAGGTTGTACAAAGTGCACAGTAGATTATACAAAAGATTTTGCAATGTCATTTTCTTTAGCACAATTATCAAATAGCTATCTTGTGGAATGGAAGTCATCCTTTACATAAAAAAATGGCAGAACATTTCTTTTCTATTATTGTTCCCACATTTAGCTATCTTAAATACAAGAGAAACTAACGGATGGCTCAGTTAGTTAAATGGAGTCAAATGGAGACTAAAGATTTATTATTCTCTTCTATCCAGTTCTCCTGATTCGAAACATATTTATATAACCAGTCAGGGATAAGTGACTTTTGGGGAATTCTATAATCTTATACCTGGATATAAATCCCTCTGCGCAGAATAAATACTGCTAATGTATTTTAAATCCTGTGTTGTTTCATAGCGGATGTCTTGGAATGCCTCCATTAGCTCTTTTTTTGTTCTAGAAACCACCTGATTTCCTGGACTTATCTTAAATTGTGTTGATCTTTTATTTGGAATAATTTGAGCAGAAACTAATGTAACAAGATTTTGGAGCAATAGAAGGATACTCCCGTCATCCCATGAAGGCTAGAACATTGGATCTGTTAAAGGTCATCCATGTTTTAATTTCAAGCAAAATGCCTGTGTTAACAGTTAAGCTTGAATAAAATGTTCATAGCTTGCTAATTAATTAATTTCTTAGATCCAGCTAAATTGAATCACTTTGTTGCTTTGGGCATGTTGAGGATACCTGAGAGCTTCCACTTATACTAGATTTGTGA